AATCTATAGTGGAGAAAGTCTGACTGGGTGCGAGACTTCCTCCAGGAGCGTTTAGCACAACGGGAGCATCTTTGCAGGTAGGTCCAGAGCATGGAGGTGCTACGAGGAGACAGGCCAGTACATCAGGAGACATGGAGGAGGCCGTAGGAGGGCAACAACCCAGCAGCAGGACCGCTACCTCTGCCTTTTTGCAAGGAGGAACAGGAGGAGCACTGCCAGAGCCCTGCAAAATGACCTCCAGCAGGCCACAAATGTGCATGTGTCTGCTCAAACGGTCAGAAACAGGGTGGTATGAGGGCCCGACGTCCACAGGTGGGGATTGTGCTTCCAGCCCAACACCGTGCAGGACGTTTGACATTTGCCAGAGAACACCAAGATTGGCAAAATCGCCACTGGCGCCCTGTGCTCTTCACAGATGAAAGCAGGTTCACACTGAGCACATGTGACAGACGTGACAGAGTCTGGAGACACCGTGGAGAACGTTCTGCTGCCTGTAACATCCTCTAGCATGACCGGTTTGGCAGTGGGTCAGTAATGGTGTGGGGTGGCATTTCTTTGGGGGCCGCACAGCCCTCTACGTGCTTGCCAGAGGTAGCCTGACTGCCATTAGGTACTGTGATGAGATCCTCAGACCCCTTGTGAGAGCATATGTTGGTGTGGTTGGCCCTGGGTTCCTCCTAATGCAAGACAATGCTAGACCTCATGTGGCTGGAGTGTGTCAACAGTTCCTGCAAGACAAAGGCATTGATGCTATGGACTGGCCCACCCAATCCCCAGACTTGAATCCAATTGAGCACATCTGGGACATCATGTCTCTCTCCATCCACCAACGTCATGTTGCACCACAGACTGTCCAGGAGTTGACAGATGCTTAAGTCCAGGTCTGGGAGGAGATCCCTCAGGAGACCATCCGCCACCTCATCAGGAGCATGCACAGGCATTGTAGGGAGGTCATACAGGCACGTGGAGGCCACACACACTACTGAGCCTCATTTTGACTTATTTAAGGACATTACTTCAAAGTTGGATCAGCCTGTAGTGTGTTTTTCCACTTTAATTTTGAGTGTGACTCCAAATCCAGACCTCCATGGGTTGAAAATTTTGATTTCCATTTTTTTATTTTTGTGTGATTTTTTGTCAGCACATTCAACTATGCAAAGAACAAAGTATTTCAGGAGAATATTTAATTCATTCAGATCTAGGATGTGTTATTTTTGTGTTCCCTTTATTTTTTTGATCAGTGTATTTATATAGTTATATTTCTGTATTAATGTGACTCTTTAGCAATTGGCAATAGTGGATATTATTAGGTAATTATTTGTTAAATATGTTTTTATGTAAATACTTTGTTTATCAATGAATATGTCTGCATATATTGATAGGAAATGATCCCATTTTTCCAGCTCTCATTTTTTACCTCAGCTCTTTATAAAGGTTAATTGACCAATAGCTAGTTTACATGTAGACTGAGCTATATTGGGGTGTGCACCTGTTAATTAATAAAAGTATTAATAAGGTTTGTGAAGCAGTACTGATTGTGCATGTGCCATACTGGAGGGCGGAGGAATGGCTTCTTAAGGTTCACAGTGACCCCATTCCCGTTTCCCATTCCTGTTTATTTTTATTCCGAATGGAGGTCCACTGTGCTTGTCACATATACGCATGTGCAGCAATGATAAAGTCACTTCTGGTTGATTACAGTGCTGGAGGTGACACAGTCACCTCCAACAGATGGAGATAATTTACACTGACTAGAAGTTCTATACATAAAGACAACTGGAAGACATCAGCAGAGCGTATGCGGAAGTCAAAGTAGATTGGCGAAACACGTAAAGCTATTCCCTTGAAACTGAATTATTGCCACATCCAGACACCATTTTTTAACTAGCTGAGAATTTATTTCTTTGAATTGCAGTTATCCTTTGGAATCTGGAAAGTGGCTAATCTGGAGAAATGAGCCCTTTGGGGCCAATGTTCTATTTGCACTATTTATGTTGCGCTTTATATGTGAGTGTTTATACATGTATGTGTATATTAAATATACTACACTATAAAGATTTATTTTGCTCTTTCCTACATACTTGTAGAAATCTACAAATGATTGAAGACCATAAGGATTTCTATATTATTTAGTTTATATTAATTCACTTTGATTGTTATGTTTTGCACTTGTACTTGGAAATTTTATAAATTTGTTTTCATGCATAGCTCCTAGTTTGGCACAGTGAACAAGTGAACAAAGTGTGCTTGAACTAAATATAAAATATATCCCAAATAGCAGGAAACTTATAAAGTGCACAGACCTAACACAGCACTCTATTTTCAATAAATACAATATTAAGCAGTGCTATGCCTTTAAAAATGAACAACACTGCCCTTCAAAAGTGACTACATCATCCTTTTAGAAACTCACAATAGATAAAATAAAATAATGTCAACAGGGTAAAAGTGCACTGTGCCTTTAAAATATGAATAACTTATTGTGCAGTGATCACACCAATTATTTAGAAAGTCACAATAAATAAAATGATTACTGGCAGTACAATTGCATTGTGCATTTAAACCCCACACAGTAAAAATAAGAGCGGGGGGAGAGGGGTGAATCACTTACAAACGTGGAGCAGATAAGTACTGCTCAGGACATAGAGACTCTACTGATGTTGCCTTGAAGCATACGGTCCACAATCACGATGTCCAGATATAAACCTTAATTTTGCAATCGGTATAAAATTAGAAAGGACAGCCCACAATGCACTTCCACAGCTTGCATCAACACCTAGTCAGCGATATTCCGTGGACAAACCAGTGGCTTCTAAACCTCAGTGGAGGTGTATACAGTTGAGGCTCTCCACTCCAGATAACTGATGATGGTATTGTGTATAGTTCTAGATCACTTTAAAATTTAAATAGGCACTTTTTCACTTTTGCACCTTAGACATGATCTGGATTGAGCACTTTGTACGGGTTTGACTGGAGGCAACAAAATCAAAATAGGATGCACGTAAAATAACAGTTTATATTAACTGATAACATTTGTTCTTTTTTATTTGTTTCTTTTTGTTAGGTAATACGTTTACCTAACCAGCTCTGTGTAAATTACAGAATTATGTATTGAGGAATACAGATAACAGCAGTATGGCTGGACCTGTAAAGTCATGTGTAAACTGACTGTTTTCTTTAAATAGAGTTCTCCTAAGCAAAAATTGATAAGGACAATTGTAGATCAGATTCCCATGAATTAAATCATATTGATATAATGTTTAATATTATTATTATTATTCATAAAGTCCTAACAAATTGTACATAGCTATGTAATAAGTGGACTAACAAAGAAGCAGTTACTACAAGACAAGTTGAACATACAGGAAAATAACGTGCTGAGGGCCCTGTTTCAATGAGTTTACATTTGTAATATCATATAGCTTATTATAGACCAGTATGGCTTAGTGCAAGCTATAGCCTTCGATAGTGGCATGTTTTAATGAGCATGCATCACTGAAAGATATCATTGGAGACATAAAATGAAGACAAGAATGAGATGTGAAAATGAAGGCAAGACATTTACAACCGTTCAATCCCAAGTTCAAGCCATTTCATAGCCAGACTTGCTGTGGCACATTTTAAAGTTTTTAGAGCTATTTTTAATTTGAATAGTATGTTCCCCATTGCAACAAGCTTTCATCACTTTAACAGGGAATTTTTGTGAATTGAAAACAAAATTGAGCATTTTAGGCCAAAAGGTTGTTTTTTAAATATGTTTCAACTCAGTTATAGTCACAATTACATTTTCATTTCACCATAATTTCCTGTCTAGCAAACAATCCTTTATTTATGGAATATCCAATGTTTTGTCTCACTGTGTGATATTGTACAAATTGTAGTGGCTTGCACACTACAGTCCATAAGATATTACACTGTGGTACTAGCAAATAGTTAATTTAATTTCAATCGGTTTGTCATGCCAAAAGCATGAGTTGGTGTTTGATGTGTGTTTATATATGTTAAGAGTAGTTTTTTTGTAAACCTTGGGATGACATTTATTGTGGTCTTTGATCTTGCACCAGGCCTAGACCATAAAACATCTAGATAGCCATCACCAGAGCTGGACACAAGGAATTTCATAGAGTGGGCAATAGACTGCCAGACCAGCCCCCTCTGATCCCCCCCAGGGGTCTGCCCACTGAGAAACAACTAGTTTTAGCTATATGAGGGTGTTGGACTATCCAGGGAGGTCAGTTATTCATTTTTCTTTTGTCAGTAACTTCTAGGAGATCTATACCATCTAAGACTCCCACAAGAATTCTATATGGGGTAAATATATGTAAGGAATTTCTTGTGTTTTCTCCTATTTTATTTTATGTACTGTTTTGCAATTTGTTATCTGTATGTCATTTATTTCTGTATTTTGTACTCAGCACTGTGAATCCTTTTTGTCAGATTAAATGTTTACTTAATCAGCTTGTGTCTCTGTTCTCTATGAGCTTCACTCTCCAGAGGAAAGCTCAGGTAAACACGTTACCAAAAAGGGGTTAACTATATATGTTTTATCAGTAAAAGTAGAACTGTGATACTATAATTCTCCTGTGTGTGGGGTAACCTAAGACGCCCGGGTTTAAAAGTCTTGGTGGTGGCAGTAGTACTAAGGGGGTTAGTGTAGAAGGGATTGCAGGGGTTAATTGAGTGGTTGCTGGGACTAGCAACAGGTAACCAGGGGTCTGGTGTCATTAACCCTGTCACTTCCACACTCTCCCCACTGTCTCGGCTGGGCCTATAGCCCACGCACGTGACAAACTGGCGGCAGCTAGTGGGATATATTTAGAGATTTTTAGTGCTTGCTAGATTTTACCTGTAAAGGGGGTCTTAGCACTAAAAGAAATTGCATACTTGTTTTTGTGTAATTTCCAAAGACCAAGCTCAGTGCTGATTTAAAATACATACAAAGTGCAAAACAGTTCTCCCCTCCCATCTTTTGTTTTTCTTTCTCTATCCTATTTGTGAATATGGAGGCCTATCGCAAACAATCAAAAGAGGCCTTGGAATTGTTGTGCCAAGAAAAGAATTTACCAACTTTTGGCAAAAATAAGGCACAACTTATTGCTGACCTTGTGGAGGCTGACAGCCATATTTTCCAGCCAGAGACGGACACTGAAAGGGTTACCGAGCTCCCTACTACTGCAGGAGTGTTGCTTACTGAAATGCCTGGTGGTTGTACCCCTCAAAACATTAAGGACATTTGCTCAACTGATTTATTTCGGCAACTGATGGCTGCAAATCCTCAGGAGGCCCTGCATGTGATGATCCAACAGCAGGCTGCAGAAAGGGAATCTGCAGAGAGGCTAGCCGAAAGGGAGGCACAAAGGAGACATGAGCTGGAACTTGCTAAACTGCAATTTACCCTTCAGTCCTCACTGAACAGCAATGCATCAGAGTCCAGCACACGTAGGCTCCGTAAGGATGATTTTCCTTCCCTCGAAGAAGGGACAGATTTGGATGTATTTTTAAAAGTTTTGAGAAAGTATGCAGGCAGCATCAACTACCCTCAGACCAGTGGGGCAGATATTTAACTCCACAACTGAAAGGGAAAGCCTTGGATGTGTTTGTGTCCCTTCCCCCAGAGACTGATAACAACTATGAGGCAATCAAATCTGCATTGCAAAAAACTTTTAACCTTACTCCTGAGTCTTACAGGAAAAAGTTTAGGAATATGCAGCAATGCCCATCATCCAGCTGCATTCTATATATTGCACAATTAGAAACCACGTTCCGGCAATGGGTAACAGGAGTACAAGCTACTACCTATGAAGCCCTGAATGACTTAATGGTCCTGGAGCAGTTCTTGCAGACCCGGAGCCCTAATGTACGAGAGTGGATTTTGGAAAGAAAGCCAAAAAATGCTAGGGCTGCTGCAGAACTGGCAGATGACTATGCCGACATCCATGCACCCACATCCAGGCGTGGACTTGTGTCAGCTGCTACTTCGACCTGGAGAGAAGCTACAGTTCAAACACCACTTGTAAGATCTGCAGTGAGAACTTCACCGCCGACTGCCAGCGTAGCCGGGGCTATGTCAAGTGAGTCAGATGCCCGCCGTTGTTTTCGATGCAACCAGATTGGTCATCTGAGCAGGACTTGCCCCACTAGGAATATGCCCTCACCAGTCCGTGGAGGGGCACCATCAGTATTGCTTGTGGGTGGGTCCGTGGGGAAACGAGAGGATAACCTGCAGAGTGTAATTGTGGGTGACGAGTGACCATGGGACTGAGAGATTCTGGAGCTTCCTTCACCCTGGTGCGCCCTGAAGTGGTGAATACGGAGGACATAATCCCTGGAAGGACCATGTCCATCAAAGGAATTGGGGGTGTGCGTCCCGCTGTGCCCTTGGCACGTGTGTACCTTGATTGGGGTGTGGGCAAAGGTTTGCGGGAAGTGGGGATTTCAGAGGATATCCCTGTTAATGTTCTGTTGGGGAATGATTTGGGCAGGATGCTCTGTCACTATGCTCCAGCGGACACTGTTTGTGAGCCAGAAGGGCTGACTGTTCCCCCTAAGGTATTGTGTGAAACTTTGGGAGACATTGTGAAGTGTGATTGCTGGGAGGGAGAGCAGGGTGTGGATAAATATCTACCTGTAACTGAACCAGTGATGTCTACCAAATGTGAGATAGGGGTGAGTAGTGATGTGCCTGTATCAAAATACTGTGAGGTTGGGATGTCAGAGAGTAAGGGGGAGGAGGAAGGTGAGAGCCAGGGATGTGTACCACTAGTCGCAGTGGTAACAAGTCAACAGTGGGTCAGGGCTGCAGCAGGACAGTCTGAGGTGCTATGTGAGATTGTGAGAGGAGGGCCTGCCCTGGAGAAGAAATTATGTGAGTGTGTGCAAAATTCTGTATCTGATCAAGGGGGGTCAAATGTGTCCTCTGAAAATGTATGGGAAAAGCCTTCCAGCGAGAGGGGCCTGAAGGAATATATGTGCCAATATGTGCCTGAAGCAGATGTATGTGATGCACTGGGTGAAAATGTGAAGGGACAGCGAGGCTATGAGGGAGGGCAGAGGGTGTGTGGGCTTTACTCTGCGCCAGACTTAGCCAGTTTCCAAAGTTCGGTATGTGTGATGACCCGGAGTGAAAGTGAGGGGCACAGACAGACTCAGCTTGTGGGTCCAGGAAGGATGGCTGCAGGGAAACATACTGTTGGAGGAACCAGGAACCTTGTCAGTTTATCACAACTCACGCATACACCTAAGCAACTTTCTGATTGTGAACCAAAGGTTCAGAGTCTGATAGTGCAACAAGGCCAGCAGACAGACCGCAAAATGAAAGAGATGATGGATGTTGATACAGCACATCTATCCTGGGAGTGTTCTCTTTCTGCTTTTTTGTGGGCTTACCGGGGAGTGCTGCAGAAATCCATTGGTTTCTTCCCCTTACAACTACTACATGAGCGCAGTGGGTGTGGTTTAAGGGATGTTACCAGAGATCGATGGGGAATTGAAACAGGCAAATCAGGCATGTTTGAGGATGTAGCTGTGGTTTGGACTGATCACAACCTGCTGCAGGTGACAGGTAACACTGATAAACTGCTCCATTGGAGCCCTATCCTCCAACAACGGTATAATTTCACTGCCCAGCACAAAAAGGGCAGATGGTCTGTCTCGGCAACTAGAGGGTTAATGGTAGACAGATAAATCAGCCTGTGGCTGAATTTTTCTGTCCACCATCTTAAGGGGGAGGTGTCATGCCAAAAGCATGAGTTGGTGTTTGATGTGTGTTTATATATGTTAAGAGTAGTTTTTTTGTAAACCTTGGGATGACATTTATTGTGGTCTTTGATCTTGCACCAGGCCTAGACCATAAAACATCTAGATAGCCATCACCAGAGCTGGACACAAGGAATTTCATAGAGTGGGCAATAGACTGCCAGACCAGCCCCCTCTGATCCCCCCCAGGGGTCTGCCCACTGAGAAACAACTAGTTTAGCTATATGAGGGTGTTGGACTATCCAGGGAGGTCAGTTATTCATTTTTCTTTTGTCAGTAACTTCTAGGAGACCTATACCATCTAAGACTCCCACAAGAATTCTATATGGGGTAAATATATGTAAGGAATTTCTTGTGTTTTCTCCTATTTTATTTTATGTACTGTTTTGCAATTTGTTATCTGTATGTCATTTATTTCTGTATTTTGTACTCAGCACTGTGAATCCTTTTTGTCAGATTAAATGTTTACTTAATCAGCTTGTGTCTCTGTTCTCTATGAGCTTCACTCTCCAGAGGAAAGCTCAGGTAAACACGTTACCAAAAAGGGGTTAACTATATATGTTTTATCAGTAAAAGTAGAACTGTGATACTATAATTCTCCTGTGTGTGGGGTAACCTAAGACGCCCGGGTTTAAAAGTCTTGGTGGTGGCAGTAGTACTAAGGGGGTTAGTGTAGAAGGGATTGCAGGGGTTAATTGAGTGGTTGCTGGGACTAGCAACAGGTAACCAGGGGTCTGGTGTCATTAACCCTGTCACTTCCACACTCTCCCCACTGTCTCGGCTGGGCCTATAGCCCACGCACGTGACACGGTTTGAAGCCAATTTTTTATGCCTCACACAACCTTCTTGCACAGGGACTTGCTAGACCTTTATTAAGGTGGCAGAGATCCTAGCAGAAGGATTAGTGCTTTTCAAGGGTAGATTCCTCCTTCAAATATATGGCGAAATAATAAAGTGATAACCACAATATCCAAACTCCAGGGGAAGGTCACCTAAACTGTGCTCTACAGGAAACAGGCCATAACCCTTATATATATTTTAGATGCATAAACAAAACAATACTTAATGAGTATCCCAATGAGTATCCCAAATAGATAAAGGGACTCAGTGAGACAGGGCACACTAAGAGAAAGGACAGAGTGTAAATGAGGAGTAGTAAATCACTACCTTTATTATTACTAATTAAAAAAAGAAGGAATAGAGTTTATAATAATGTTTGTTCACTAGGGGAGGGTAAACACTGGTGCAAAGCAAGGCAAACCTAAAATAGCGGTACCTGAAAAAAAACCTCCTCTTTGGTGAGAGAGAGGGACAGTAGGTATAGATGTAAACAGGGTAATATAGGGTTAAATGTATGCTCAGTAGGAATAATAGTAGCCAAAACAGTAGACAACGTACAGGTGATACTAGAAAAATTAGAATATCGTGCAAAAGTTCATTTATTTCAGTAATGCAACGTAAAAGGGGAAACTAATTTATGAGATAGAATCATTACATGCAAAGCAAGATAGTTCAAGCCGTGATTTGTCATAAGTGCGATGATTATGGCTTACAGCTCATGAAAACCCCAAATCCACAATCTCAGTAAATTAGAATATTGTGAAAATGTGCAATATTCTAGGCTCACAGTGTCCCACTCTAATCAGCTAAGTAAGCCATAACACCTGCAAAGGGTTTCTGAGCCTTTAAAGGGTCTCTCAGTCTGGCTCAGTAGGAATCACAATCATAGGGAAGACTACCGACCTGACAGTTGTGCAGAAAACCATCATTGACACCCTCCATAAGGAGGGAAAGCCTCAAAAGGTAATTGCGAAGGAAGTTGGATGTTCCCAAAGTGCTGTATCAAAGCACATTAATAGAAAGTTATGTGGAAGGGAAAAAGAATGGAAGAAAAAGGTGCACAAGCAGCAGGGATGACCGCAGCCTGGAGAAGATTGTCAGGAAAAGGCCAGTCAAATGTGTTGGGGACTTTCACAAGGAGTGGACTGAGGCTGGAGTCAGTGCATCAAGAGCCACCACACACAGACTGTTCCTGGATATGGGCTTCAGATGTCGTATTCCTCTTGTCAAGCTGCTCCTGAACAACAAACAACTTCAGAAGCGTCCTACCTGGGCTAAAGAAAAACAGACCTGGTCTGTTGCTCAGTGGTCCAAAGTCCTCTTTTCTGATGAGAGCAACTTTTGCATCTCATTTGGAAACCAAGGACCCAGAGTCTGGAGGAAGAATGGAGAGGCACACACTGCAAGATGCTTGAAGTCCAGTGTGAAGTTTCCACAGTCGATGTTGATTTGGGGAGCCATGTCATCTTCGGTGTTGGTCCACTGTGCTTCATTAAGTCCGTCTACCAGGAGATTTTGAAGCACTTCATGCTTCCTTCCACAGACAAGCTTTATGGGGATGCTGACTTAATTTTCCAGCAGGTCTTGGCACCTGCCCACACTGCCAAAAGCAACATAGCCTGGTTAAATGACCCTGGGATTACTGTGCTTGATTGGCCAGCAAACTTGCCTGACCTGAACCCCATAGAGAATCTACGGGGCATTGGCAAGAGAAAGATGAGAGACATGAACCAATGCAGAAGAGCTGAAATCCGCTATTGAAGCATCCTGGTCTTCCATAAAAGCTCAGCAGTGCTACAGGCTAATAGCGTCCATGTCAGGCCTCATTGAGGCAGTAATTGCTGTAAAAGGGGCCCAAAGCAAGTACTGAGTCCATATGCATGCTTATACTTTTCAGAGGTCCGATATTGTTCTATGTACACTCCTTGTTTTATTGATTGCAGATCATAGATTTGGGTTTTCATGAGCT